ACTGGGTTTAACACATAACCCCCCCCCCCCCCACCAACCAACCCCCCCCCCCCCCTCCCCCCAACACCCCGAAAATGACAAAACCTATGTCACAGACCGTTTCTTTCTGGGAAATAAAAACGTATATAAAAGAAAACAATAGACTGCGACACCCTTAACCTCGACCACTTTAGATTAGTCCAACCAACTTATCAATGGAGTTGACCTACAACCGGTGGTGTGTAAATGGGAAGACTATCGTATAAATAACCCTTGACTGTATATACATTGTTTCGTTCCCCACCCTCCCCACCACCCGCACATTTGACTAGGTTAATTATAAATAGCAACGATATAACGTATATAACGTATGCAAGAATCATTTGTGCATAATTTATTTGTGATAATGATTAGTATGATATTCGTAATAAGAGTATTGGAGGCATACTGTGAGACCAAATGAGGTGTACTGGTACACAGTTAAATCAACAACAACGATTACAAATACAAGTACTTACCTTTCACATAAGCTCCAAGAGCAGAAAACCCCATGTACTTCTGATTAATTATTCCATGAAGTAATATTTCCGACAGATATTCATAGAACGAACATTTTTATGTGATAATGAAAATTAAAATGATTAATAATAGTATTCAATCACACAGATTTTGTCTGATGTATCAGCCATGATAATATTTCGAAGTCTCTTCATCAACAGGCTAAACCAGTTCCCCGTCGGGGCTAACAAAATCTACGTGAAACATGCAGATTAGAACTCAACTTGATGTTTTATTACAACTCTTGAACAGCAGCAATTAGCACACCAAGTCTCGGTAACACGTGACTTCTCCCTTGCCTGCCCACAGGAGGGTCTTAGATTCAAATCCGTATCTGGGTGGATGTTGGCTCCTGTTCGACCTTTGCTCCTAGGGTGACTCTGCCTAAAATTGATTCCTAGAAATATCATGCAATGTAAAGGTGACTTCTTCTTCTCATAGTTTCTTGCGTTGGTATTCACGTCGTATCCACGACCTTCTTTCTCGTGTACTTTTAATGAGTTCTGATACAGATAATCTTCCATGCCACGAGTATACTGTCCAACATCTTTTCTCTCCTTGTCACTTTCCTTCTTGTCCCCTCCAACTTTCCTCCAGTCACAATGCACTTTCACATTTTGTTTTGTTTAACCCTCTCGTGATATGACCAAACAGTATAGATTATCTCCTTCTGATGTGGGCAATCGTGGACAACTTTCTTTCAAGACATCTTCATAACCTTTTCCGGGGTATTCTCATCATTCACTTACAAAACCTAATCTCCGCCACTTCAGCATTATTTTTCACAAATCGTCTAGCAGTCGTCTGGCATCATTTTAATCACATTACCCCTTGACTGACGCACTCATATATATATATAGATTTATGAGCAACTTTAGTAATGTCTGAGTATTGATACTGTAAGACAACTGGCTCACTTTTAATATATCTCTAGAACAACTACAGCTTTCAACAAATGACAACAATGGAACGCCATCGAATTCCATATACACTTGTACATTCACTTACCAGTTTATTTCTCCTATTCCATCACAATTACTCGACTAACATCATCACTGTTCACTTCCACAACTATAACACAATAATCATTTACTCAGCGTTGACTACAATTCATTCAACTACATGGACAACGTCACAACTGTCTTCTTTCAACTCTGGTGCACAACTCACCACTAGTCAACATCGTTTACCTTTCCAGCCCCAAGTAGCTGGTGCAGTCGTTTGTTGCTCGGATTTGTCTGCTTGACTTGCTGTGAACCTGGAGAGCAGCTTCATCACAGACAGCACATGTCAACAACCAATATGTACCAGAAATTTAAATTGCTGTTCGTAACCAAGTTTCGTGTGCTAAAAACGAAAGTGACATAAAACATGTAAGTTTGTTCTGATTTCCAAGATAAATGCTCAGTCAGTAGCATGTCCTTTGCAGAACCTTGCTCCCATAACAACCTTCCAGAAAACATATCGATCACAAGAAAGATGTGCCGCGTATGATACACCCATCTGGAGATCATCCGCCACATTCTACGCGGTCTTTTCTTTGGCCTTCATCTTCCTAGATACATGCTACAAGAGTTTTTTATTACGGCCAATGTATATGTATGCGAGCCGAAGTAGTGTAGCGGCTAGACGTTTGTGTGCTGATTGGAAGGTGGTGGGTTCGGCTCCTGACGCTGCTGAACGTTTAAAAAAAAAAATTGGCTTCCAGGTCGACTTAGCCCTAAGTGGATACCAGTTTTGTCCTGGGAAGTAAAGGCAGCCAGCGTGATGTTGACATCATCATTTAGCGAGTGTCGATTGGTCAATAAAAAAATAAGGTCTAGCTCGATATACCCCATACAACTGAAGACGTGGAAAGGGGTTTGGATGATGCAACTGTTGTAGGAGATTATATATAATTTTTTGTCTAATGTCCAATCAAAATGTAACTAGACATTGATGATTCACTCCCACCTATGATTACATCACCTGTGTGTATAAATATATTATCTCTGGAAACATTTTACTATTAGTTAGTGCATTTGTCAATATCAAAAGTATATTAGCTATAAATACCTAGGACATGCGGGAACAGGACTAATAATTTATGTTTTACATGTGGTATGCTGACATTTATATCACACACACAAACACACAAATATAACTTTAAGTGATATAGAAGGCTTTCAGTTTGTATTTTGACTGCAGAATAGAAGATCAAGGCAAGAGATGGGTATCACACGTCCTTAACTGGTTAACTGGCAATTGCCTTTTGCATGGTCCTTTTAATAAGGAAAGACATGTTAAAAAAGAAGAAAATGGGCTCTGGAATGTCCAAACACCCCCTCTATAATATGGCAATGACCCACCAGTTCCAAAAGTCCCAGAATCATTTTCTGCAGCTTTCACTGGCGAAGAGGAGTCGCCGTGGCGGAGCGGCTAGACGCTCTCTGTGGATCGGAAGGTAGTGGGCTCGATCCCTAGCGGGACAAGACTTTTTTCAAAAATGACCTTAGCTCCCTGGTCAATCCAGCATTGAGTGGGTACTGGGTGCAGTCCGGGTAAATAAAGGCGGCCGTTGTGATGCTAAATACATCAATCATCTTGTGCCAATTGGTCTATAAAATATAACTCTAGACCTATATGCCCTATACGCTTAAAGGCGTAGAAAAGGGTCCTTTTCACTGGTGAAGAATATAACACTGGCGCTGCTGAACCACTAACGTCTTGGGGTCTCGGTGGCGAAGTGGTCAACCGTTTGCCTCACGTTCTGAAAGTTGTAGATTTGTTTGACTGCTGTGCCGTTAATTTCACGAATGCAATTTTGTTTACCCATTGTGCATAATGTACAAACCATTGTAAATGTTACTGATTCAGTTCAGTTTTAAGGCCTGGGTTTCAAAGATCGGGACAACCTTCACGTGTGGGTTCTGAGGGGGTCCCACGTGTGAAAAACAAGAATAGACCAAATGCCTCCCAAAAAGGCAATTTTTAGAAGCCGACTAATTGGTAGGGCATCCTTCAAAGTTAGAGTGTATCTGTCTGAAAGGCAAGGAACTAAGAGTCTGCAAACAAATAAGCCATATCTGTAAAACGGATGCTCACGCAACACCAGGTTCTTGAACAAGACTAGAGTCCGGATGTAGACGTACACAAATAACCTTTCGCCGCAGTTTGCAGCCGGTGAATGTGAAGAAGAAGTTTACGACATTGTATCTGGTTGCGAACTGTGTCCCTTCTTGTGACTTGGACCACCTTGCCCAGATACTTTATTTAGGGGACCTGCAGCCTGCTTGTGTGAGCTACTGCCCATCACTCACATCAGTAGGTCATGACTGGCACATAGGCAGAGCAGTGTACAGCAATTTTCGTCCGTTGCCAATTTCCCTTTTGGAGACAAATTCTCACAGCATCATGTACAAACCATACATTCAAACAAAGCAGGCGAGCAAGATAGGGTGACGACGCGAGAAGATAACATCAAGAGATGGACGAACAGTAGAATAACAGGGTGTACAACAAAGGCAAAAGATCAGAATAGTGCAGCAACTGTTATCTTGAAAATAGCACATAAATTGATTGCGTGCACTTTGCACGTAGCAAAGTGCTGCTAACCACATCACCTATCTTGTGCTTATGGCTCTACAAAAATATAGGTCAATATAGGCCCTATATGCCCTAAATACCCAAAGGCGTGGGAAAGGGACCTTTACTTTTATTATACACGAAGGCAGACAGAGGTAGTATAAGCGATGCTATTTTTTTCCCCTAGGTTTTTGTGATAAATAATGTAAAAACAACCATTGCTACACGCTTTTCTTACTGAAAGGTGAGCAAAACGTATTCCTATGTTTTCGCTTTTCTGTTACTAGGCGTCGTAGTTTAACAGATGATAGGTAGCCGATGTACGGTGCGATTGGTTGCTTGGTATGCTGTGATGATGCGCCATCTGAAGCTTCTCAGCGACTCCTTCATTTAATCTTCTTCCAAGTCTCCCTTTGCCTCTTGGTGTTTCAGATTAAGTAACCGAACCAAAAGCAGAAAGTCGTAGCCTCGATGTTCTCATGAAACTAAAAACGGGGAGCTGATACACTTTATTGCATCGGGTGTTATTCCATCTGTATCAGTCTCTCCTGTGTGAAAGATGAGAGTTTGAAAGTGCCGAATGCAAGACAGGTCTGCGTACCCAAATTGTAACACTTTAGAAGTGTTCCGCACAGCGGATTGCTTCCCGTTGAAAGAGTCGTGTGAAACACTTCAGTAACTTCAGAGACAGCTCCAAGGATCGTCTGAAATCTATCGAAGCCATGAACGAGGCTGTCCAAAGAGGCTGTCCGAGTACGAACTAACTTCTTTCAGCGTGCATGGCAAAGTGCATTGCAAAGACATCTCCTTTTTATGTTTATAGGCCAAATCCGTTACCATCTGAAGTGATAAAATCGAAATGATTCCTTCTTGCTCCAGGTGATTGTCAGGTAGTGGGGTCACCTATAGTAGCGGTGACTGTGGACTGGAGTAGACCTGGAGTCAGATTTCCATACATTAGTGTTATTGTTGGATGACTTTGAGGATGTCCTGCAGACGATCTGTTTGGAGATAATGCTACTGAAGACTAAACAACAAATCTGTGAAAGAACAAATACTTCGTTAGTGAGCAAAGTGTACTTGTCAATAACAATACATCTAGTTTTGAACAGAGTCAAATCGGATGTTAAAAATGTAAAGAAAAAAACACATACAATCACGCCTAAACAAAGCAGATGATAATATTATACGAGGATAAAGCAAACAGTAAAAGCAAATGTCATATAAAATGTATATTTCATTTTAATTTCCCCACAAAAAAAGAGCTTTTATGTATTACTTTTCTACATAAGGCCGTTAATACGGATGGGTCTTACTAGTCACAAGGTCAAAGGGGTGTTCCGTGATACAGTTGATATCGCGTGTTGTATATTTCAGCACGCCAGTGCTTTTAATGATCTAACAACATGGAGCGATTAACCCTAACACAACTTCCCAAGAGAGTGCTTCAACCTATGTGACAGGCATTCTCTTTCTCCAAATGAAAACGTAAATGCAAGACAAAACAGAAAGCAAAGAACAGAGCGGGACACACCCATAACCTTTAGGAAAGTCTACCAGCCCAACAAACTTGTGAATGAAAAGGGATTTCCTTTGCTTGGGGAGATTAACGTGAACCTAACCAACTCTTTCAACAGGCGTCTGTGCTTAAGGGTTACAAATGCGTATTGTATAACTTGGAAATACCCGGTTAGATCCATCTGTGGGAAGTTTGACAGAGGGCCGCTTTGCGCTGGTTTCGACAATGGTATGAAGCACGGATCGTTGAGAATTTGTCAAAATACTAAACGTATAATTTACGTAGTAAAATTAGAGAAACACCACAAATGCTGGCGTTGGTTTGTAACGGTAAGTAAAGTATAAAGTATTTGCAACCAACGTTAATTAAATTTGTATGTTGTCCCTCAAAGTCGGAGTACATCTGCCGGTGAGGCAGAAAACGGCAAACAATTAAGCCAGTAACATGGATGTACATGCAAAACTCATGTCCGGGTAAATGCCAAAAGTCCAAATGGACGAACTACTGGAACTTTCCGCCGGAATTCACACCCAGTGAACAAATAAGAAGAAGAATTCGTATATTATATAGGCGTGATGATTTAGGGCCCTTTGACCTTGCTATCTTACGAAGTGTGTGGGGTACGATGTCAGTTTAAGCCTTCATCAGAAAAAGAAAAGAAAAACACCCATCAATCGACTTGGGATCGAAAACGGGTCATCAGCCGGAGAACCGGTTTGCACGAGGGCTCAGTGTTTTAACAGTGCCGCCGATCATATCCGGTACTTTGCTAAAAACAAAAGTCCTAACGTTTAACCAGCGTTAAGTTATGATTGTGACTTGTTTATGCTAATATTGTGACTTGTTTATGCTATGATTGTGACTTGTTTATGTTATGATTGTGACTTGTTTATGTTCGCCGTATAAAATAGCTTAGCATTGCACGCCGCCCAGAGCCCTGAAAAAAAAAGATTTCTGAAGTGTTAATGCGATCAAAGGAGACTGACTCAAATACTGTCCCGACTGACGACGAAGTGGTCTATCTGCGAGCCAATCGGTCCATTTCATAAATAAACAGAAATGCATCATGTGTTGTTTCCATGCTGCTCCATAAATAATTTGCTCAACTCCCTTTGTTTCACCCGGTTTTTACATGAACTCCTCTATCCCCAAAATAACTTCAAGACTTTGTAATTATTAAACCCTTCTGGACCTAAGCACTTCAATATTTGAAGGAAACAACGTTTAAAACAAGAACAGGTTAAACTAACAGAAGCTTATAGATGAGAGACTTCATGAGACGGGCGAATATTGCAGCTGCGTGAATTTCACGATTTTACATTCAATGTATAAAGTAAGAGGCTTTTGTTAGATATTCAGCTATCAAGAAATCACTCCCAGTGTTTGCTATGTAGACAGTAAAGCAGGCCTAAAATCTTACCTCCAGAAATCATTCCCATTGATTTGCTTTGTAGACAGTAAAGCAGGCCTAAAATGTTACCTCCAGAAATCATTCCCAGTGATTTGCTATGTAAACAGTAAAGCAGGCCTAAAATTTTACCTCCAGAAATCATTCCCAGTGATTTGCTATGTAGACAGTAAAGCAGGCCTAAAATCATACCTCCAGAAATCATTCCCAGTGATTTGCTATGTAGACAGTAAAGCAGGCCTAAAATCTTACCTCCAGAAATCATTCCCAGTGATTTGCTATCTAGACAGTAAAGCAGGCCTAAAATTTTACCTCCAGAAATCATTCCCAGTGATTTGCTATGTAGACAGTAAAGCAGGCCTAAAATTTTACCTCCAGAAATCATTCCCAGTGATTTGCTATGTAGACAGTAAAGCAGGCCTAAAATCTTACCTCCAGAAATCATTCCCAGTGATTTGCTATGTAGACAGTAAAGCAGGCCTAAAATCTTACCTCCAGAAATCATTCCCAGTGATTTGCTATGTAGACAGTAAAGCAGGCCTAAAATCTTACCTCCAGAAATCACTTCCATTGATTTGCTTTGTAGACAGTAAAGCAGGCCTAAAATCTTACCTCTAGAAATCATTCCCAGTGATTTGCTTTGTAGACAGTAAAGCAGGCCTAAAATCTTACCTCCAGAAATCATTCCCAGTGATTTGCTATGTAGACAGTAAAGCAGGCCTAAAATCTTACCTCCAGAAATCATTCCCAGTGATTTGCTTTGTAGACAGTAAAGCAGGCCTTAAATCTTACCTCCAGAAATCATTCCCAGTGATTTGCTATCTAGACAGTAAAGCAGGCCTAAAATCTTACCTCCAGAAATCATTCCCAGTGATTTGCTATGTAGACAGTAAAGCAGGCCTAAAATCTTACCTCGAGAAAACACACAGAAAATGCCAGTCCCGCAATCACCAGCACGTTGTCCTTAAAGATGCGGGTCAGGGCGACCACACAGCCTTCCGTGTAGGCAAACATATCCGTGTATTCTTTCTGCAAGCAGAGATTATTATAAAGACACATCCGGTCTTTTTGTAAGGAAAATATTTTCTTTTAAAACATTTATCCAACTAAAAAAAAAAAAAAGATATTCAATTAATCTAAATATAGCAGCAAAAGAACAAAACTTGAAGATTAACATTGGAATGGGGAAAAAAACGTCAAGGCCCCATAAGTTAAAACCATGGCAAGAAAAGAACATCTAATTATTATATGAAAAGGCAAATAGAAGAATGCCGATTGACAGACGAATCTGACAGAATGATGTCTTCATATACAACGAAGATCAAGTTACCCAAAATAAAAGATTATCCGAAAAGCTTCTAAGCTAGATATAAGTGGCTTGTATCCGCTTTTTCCTTTGTAAAATAGTTCCTAATGCCTAATCCATGGTGGATCTTCATGACGCCCTACCAAACTGAGCTGAAACATTACCTTCTTTCTTTTTTTTTTTCCTGACAATTCAAAGTAAGCTGCAAATAATTTCTCTCGCAGTATCCATGCTGGGTAGACTGTTCTAGTGATTTTGATTGTCGTTGCATCTTTTATTTCACTCTCGCACAGACAAAGTGATCAACAGTTCGGGAAACTTGTCTTGGTTTAGCTTGCTTTGCCAAAATAAAATTCGTTACGCTCAACCAGCATCCCGAAGGAGGAACTTTGGCTATAATTGTGACCAGGTTGTGTGCGCCATATAAAATGGCTTAGGACTGCTGGCGACCAAGTAGTCTTAAAAAAGGATCCTTGCAGTGTTCAAGCGATCAAAGGAGACAGACCCTAATACTGTTTTGACCAGCGACAAAGTCGTCTACCGACCAGCCAGTGGGCGACCCGGTCGTCGATAAACCGGAAACTTGTCAAATGACGAACACTTCTATCCGACACCTGTCTATCATTTACTGGGGTTACTCTACACGAGGTGTCGTGCAAGTCAATGGAAGCCAGGAAGTGCTTCAATCCCCGCCTGACTGATTTTATCTTACCTCACCCCTCTACACACACACATACACACACAAACACACGCACACACACTCATCTACATACACACGCGCACATCAACACACACACACGCAGGCACACACCTTTGAAAGATATATACTACAATTTAAGGAGCTTGCAACACAAAAATGGATGGATGTCAATCAATGGGACATCGATTTCAGTTATTCAATCAATCATTTAAACAAAAGAAGACACGCTTAAGCAATTAGGAACACTTGGGCTGAAGTGTTAACTCCACAGGTCTACCTGTACCAAATCCGATACTCAGAATCCATACTGACTAAGGTTGACAATTTCCCACCATTATGGTACTGAATTGGCATCGACCAGTTTGAATTCGAACTAGGTCCTCATCATCATTATCAAGTAGCAGGTCCTTAATAGAACGTTGCTGTCTTCACAGCCTGCCTCATGCAGTGTCCCACCAACGTTGTCTCCCACGTCAATCTTCCTTCTGATCGGCCCCTGCGCTTTGTTTCCTAGTACCAGGCCATCCACTGCTAAACTCTCCAAACCTCCGTGGTAACACAAATGTTTCAGTTTGAAGACATGATCATGATTATGAGCCAATCTACCTGGAAGTTAAAATTCTTTAGGATGTCAATATGTTTTTGTTGTTGCTCTTCGTCAATGGTATTCTGAGAATGTTTATACCGAATTTCAGTACAAAATTTACTATTTTCATCCTTAATTACTTGCACTAGCCTCAGGCTCCATAATTCTTTCTAGTTGTCTATTATGTCTTCCTGTCGCGCTAATTCTTTCTAGTTGTCTAACGTGTTCCCTGTCTCTCTACTTCTTTCTAGCTGTCCATTGTGTCCTCCAGTCACTCTATTTATTTCTACGAGTGCCCGTCAATAGCCGAGGATCGGCGGGCTAAACGGTTAGAACGCTTGGCTTTCAAGCTGCAGACCTGGGTTCGAATTCTCGGTAAGGTTGGGAATTTTTTTTTTTCTGTCAGGGCAAAATAAAATCCTCACGTGCACAGTAGTGGCGACAGCACTAGCCATGCGGCTCAAAGACCCCCCCCCCCCCCCCCACTTGCATACACCGCAAAAGTGGTACAATAAAGGCAGTTTTGGCAGTAAAGAGTTCAGCGTGCAAAGATAATGATATCTGCTCAGTGTGGCTTTCACTCACAGTTCCTGCTCTGACGCCGTATCCACACTGTTCATCCCGAGTACCTCTACAACAAGACATGGGCACTCCACAGCTGGAGGGAGAAGCGACATTACTGCAGTTGTAGTGTTCATTTGACTCCCAGTCGGAGAAGCTGGATCCACCACAGCAAGTGAACTATGAAGACACAAATAAACGGGGAGATTCTGAGTTAAGTATTCATTTATACAGATAAGGCGAGCGGAATGTAAGGAAGAGGTAAACAAGTAAGGCCTTACTGTAGGTCAAAATAAATGCGCTAATACTGCTACGAATGATCCTGATACTGCTCACAAATCTTCTTCTTCTTCTTCTTCTTCGCGTTTACCAGCTGTTCACTCTGGCAGAAAGTTCTGGTTGCTCGTCCACTACTGAACTGCAGTCCTGCTCCAGAACCTGAGTGTTGCGTGTGCATCAGTTTTACAGGTCTCTTTCTCTTGAATACAGACTGTTGGTTCCTTGCCTCTCCGGCAGATGCTCTCCGACTTCAAAGGAATCTCCCCAATTAGTCGACTCTTACGACATGCTTTTGGGGAGGCAGTGGGTCTATTCTTGTTTTCCCCACAATGGGGCCCCGGAACCCACACGGGGGACTGCTTCAAATGCTTCAGCTGCTGTTCTGAAACAACCACAAAAATAACTACTACTACTACTACTATTACAAAAACAACTACTACTACCACTACTACCACTACTACTACTACTATTAAACTACCACGACTACTGATTTTGCTGCTGCTACAAATGATTTAGCTACTGATGCTGCTGCTGCAGCTGCTGCTACTACTTCCACTAACGCTACTCCTGCTGCTGCCGCTATTATTTCCAGTAATAATAATAGCAGTAGTAACAATAATAAAATGCAAGAAGAAGAAGAAGAAGAAGAAGAAGAAGAAGAAGAAGAAGAAGAAGAAGAAGAAGAAGAAGAAGAAGAAGAAGAAGAAGAAGATAATTAAGAGGAGGAGGAGAAAGTTAGAAAGAGAGGGCAAATGAAGGAGGTATATTAGAAGAAAAATGAGGCGCATGAGAAGGTCAACGTTTAGAGAAAGAGGAAGTAGAAATAGACGACGAAGTAGAACGAGATTAAAAAAAATGAGATCAATGTATAACACCAAACAATGTTATTCCGAAAATTTACAGACATAAAGTAGCTGTTTATTTTTTAACACGAGGTTTTTGTCGTTCTTCTTTTAACTCAAGTCTGAGTCCAAAGAAGTTTAGCACAGTGCACAGGCTCCGTAGCACTGGCGAGGATCCTGAAATACTTTAAATACATTTTTCACTCCAAATTTTGCCCGTGCAGTGCCGTTAAGCTACTCTTTTCGATTTCCAACCGCCAAGGGATTTTTAACGTGCTCAACAACGCACACGGGCCTCCGATCTCACTACATAGAGACCAGGGGGAATGACTAGAAGTCTACGTGAAAAAATCCCAGCTCTTACCGGGTATTCAGCCAGGAACCGCTAGCACTCGAGGCAGACACTTTGCCTCGAGACCACGCAGCACCCATGTTTTCAACACGAGAAAACCATGATCATCTATAGGAAGGAATACTGGAAAACATAATACTTCAACATTCATTTCTATAAATATCTATCTACTTCTTTCTATGAGTGCCAATCAATACACTTTCTGTTACTTGATTAATTCAACATTGATGTACCTTTTGCTGTAAATAATCCAGAGCTTTATCGCGTTCCAAGTCCGCCTCTGTTTGGTAGCCGGTGAGAGCAGAATTCACGATGGCCAACATTCTCAGGTCGAGCTCGTCCATGCGGAAAAACAAAACCGTTCCCATGGCAATTTGCAGTAGAAACACTACGACCAGCAGCGCCATAAACTGAATCAATCAATGCACAACATTACACTTACACGAACATTACTCTTACATGAACATTACACTTACATGAACACTAGACTAAAATAATGATTACACCAGTGTTTCCCAAACTGTTCTTTGTCACGGCGCCTTTTTTCAATTGAAAATTTTTTACGGCGCCCTAACCCAAGTAAAAGTACGACTTGTTGTGTCTTGGTTAAATTAATTATGAAGCTTTTACAATAATTCGCGGGGCTCTTGTAAAGAGGTCGCGGCTTCCCGGGGCGCTGCTGCGGCGCACAGTTTGGGAATCACTGGATTTCACTATTCAATATTATAATTTTTCATTCACAGTAATATCTGGGGGCCTGTGATATATTGAAATACACCGTATTTATATTTTCAGGCAAGTAAATGACTTGTAATATATTAAAATGGATCACATTACGGTCATTTAAAAAAGCTAGTAATTTATAGAAATGGACCACATAAAGTAGTTAGTAAAAATTGGAATATATCACATTTACGTGACACCAAGTAGCGATTATTATATTGAAATGGATCACATTCACGTGACACCAAAATAGCTTGTAATATACTGGAATATATCGCATTCACGTGACACCAAGTAGCTACTATTTTATTGAAATGGATCACATTCACGCGACACCAAATAGCTTGTAATATACTGGAATAGATCTCATTCACGTGACACCAAAGCTAGTATTATATTGAAATGGATTACATTCGCGTGACACCAAATAGCTAGGATTATATTGAAACAGCGAGCAATATATTGTAATGGATCGCAATCGCGTTGACATCTGGTAGCTGGTAATATGTTCAAATGGATCGCATTCACGTGACACCCGGCAATATATTGAAATGGATCGCATTCGCGCGACACCCGGTAGCTGGTATTATATTGAAATGGTTCACATTCGCGTGACACCTGGTAGCTGGTAATATTTTCAAATGGATCGCGTTCACGAGACACCAAATAGCTAGTAAACACAACCATGAGGAAATGGTTGGGAGCACCACCTTGTCTGACTGATGAGGCTCTGTATTGTAAACAGACGAAGCTGGTACTCCTGTTCAAATCAATAACAGAAGAGTTTAAAGTCGGCAAAGTAAGACTCGCCATGATGTTGCGAGAGTCTTCAGACCCCACTGTCACTGCTGTCCAGTCCGCTCTAAAGACTGGCGTCAAGTGGAGGGTCCTAGATGCGATCGAATCTGCCCAGAAGGCACTAAAATTAAGAGAGGTGATGGGTAACGCTCAAACCGACCGTCGAGACCTAGGTGGAGTGCGGCTAACGACCCGACATGCCCGCTAACAGACGCTCGAGCACGTATTGTCCGCGTGCAGAAAAGCTCTAGGTTAAAGCAGGTATACTTGGCGTCACAGCAAGGTGCTGAAAAAGTTAGCGGCCGTTGTGGACCAAGCTAAGATGAGGGCCAATGCGACGGCCAGTCCTACCGTCGTCCCCGTGCGCTTCCTTATGGCTGGGCAGATTTATAAAGGTAAATTCAACAAAGTCGCATCCGCTTCATTGATGCAAGACTGTGCGAGGGACTGGTTACTGGCGGTTGACCTACCCGGTCATGAAAAGTACCCTGATTTAATCCTCAAGACTAGGCTGCGACCCGACATTGTCCTACACTCTGCGGAGAAACGTCAGCTCATCCTGATTGAGCTGACCGTGCCGTATGAGTCGCGAAGGGACGAAAGCCATATGTACAAGCTCGAGAAGTACAGTGACTTAGCGGCTGGTCTGTGGAGAGACGAAGCGTACACAGTAAGAACCTTCGCCGTCGAGGTAGGCGCAAGAAGTCTCGTTTCCACTTCATTGTACAATGTGATTAAACAACTAGGCTTACGAGGAAATGAAAACAAACGAGCATTAAAACAACTAGGCGAGGTTGCTCAGAGGCCTCGAGCTGGCTCTGGACACAACGAAACGTCATGGGTGACGGGCCTCGGTGAGCTGGTCCGGGTGTCTAGTGGAAAAGGATGTCTTATCCCTTAAAGCCCATCGTGTCCGAATTGTCAGCCAGTGTCCCTCTGCCACCTGCCAACAAAGTCCAACATGTGTCCGAAAAAACCAACCGTGAGCTTGCCACTTGATCGTCCAGGTATGCAGACTGCTTTAATTATGCTTCCGCAGCCACTATGTAAATACAGTATCTCAAAGTACCGTTTGCAAAGTCACCAATTTCGTCTTGTCCCTGTCCGAAAACATCCGGTAATACGTGCAGCAGGAGAAAATCAACCCTGAGCCACATGAACTCAGGTGGGCCCACTCCATGAAAATGTGTATGAGCTCGTAAGCCGAAACATTTTACGACGAGAGATTACCTCTACTGACGATTGGTAGACTCCTGCTGTACATGCTCCCCTGTGGAGTTTCTTCTTATTACACAGACCGGGAAACCCCTTTTAGGACAGTCCAACTTCTACAGACCGGCACACCCATTTTAACCCAGTCCAACATACACAGGCTGGAATACCCCTTTTAGGACAGTCCAACTTGCAGAGACCGGCATACCCCTTTCAGAATAGTCCAACTTACAGAGACCAGAATACGCCTTTCAGAAATATGAATGTGAAGCAAGAATCTGTGGCATGTTTACCATGATAAATTGTGAGGTCATTAATCTTTTTTTTTTGATCTGGGCATTTGCCTGAACCGGTTTGAAACAGGACGCTGTCCATAGTTAAATGCCGGTTTAAGTTACGTTTTCCGCCGCAAAAACACCGTGATTGGCCATTCATTCATATTTCGTGACCTTTAACACATGCTAGTCTAAGCTACAGGGGTGTGACGATGCGCTGGTTAGGTCTTCTAAATCGTGTATATTGTATGCCGTGTACTGGTTGCTGTGAGCAGCAGGCGTGATGGCGTATATAATAACTTTGCCGGACGTTCGAAGGACTGACATGCCAACTCTGCATAGAATGTTTGCTCACTAAATTAATGTTATGCTGAGTAATGTTTGTATTGTTTTGTCTGTGTGTGATTGACATTTAGCTATTTGCAAAGCTTGACATGAGCTATGCTTAAAATATAAGCTTGATATGTTTCATTTTGTACTGAGCGATGCTTGAAATTGTTTGAAATGTATTCGTGTCCTCACTAAATACTGTGCTGATCTAACGCTAAACGATACGTAAACGACTATGCATGGTTTACAGTTGACGTTTTACCAAGTGTGAACTCTGCTTCAGTTGTGAGTCAATGTTAATCTTGTGTTGAGCGATGGAAGAACTCATTTGTTTGATGTAGCAAGCCTTGCAAAATGAGACATGAACTTTGTTAAGTTTGAGATCGTTATGCTAATTTTCTGCTGAGCAGTGTTTGTATGTTTGAAATACGACCATGCATAAAGTTAGATGTGAACTCAGTTTAGATTGCCAGCTTGTCATGTTAATATTGTGTTGATCTCACGTGAGCTTGTTGGACAGTCTAACTTACAGAGACAGGAATGTTCTTTTCTGGACAGTCCAACTTACAGAGACATGCATACCCCGTATAGACCAGTCAAACTAACAGAGACCTGTATACCCTGTTCGGGACAGTCCAACTAACGAAGACACGAATAAGCCTTTCAGGACAGTCAAACTGAGACCGAAATACCCCTTTCAGATCCTTGAAAACTGAAAGAGAGCGGAATACCCCTTTCGGGACAGTCCAACTCACAGAGCCCGGAATACCCCTTTAAGAACAGTCCAACCCACAGAAAACTGAATACCCCTTTATGGACAGTCCAACTTATGTAGACATAAAAACCCCTTCCAGGACAGCCCTACTCTCAGAGACCTTAATACCTAGTTCAGGACAGTCCAACTTAGCCCAAAACGCCCCGTTCAGTTCAGTCAAACTAAGAGAGACCGGAATACCCCTATCAGGACAGTCCGGCTTACAGAGACCGGAATACCCCTTTAAGAACAGTCCAGCTTACAGAGAAATGAATACCCCGTTCAGTTTATTCCAGCTTATAGGTACATGAATACACCTGTCAGAACAGTGATGTTTGATTTGTTGTGTGACTGACATTTTTAGCAAAATTTGACGTGAGCTCTGTTTTAAATATAAGCTTGTTTTCTTTCAATTTATACTGAACGATGCTTGAATTTGTTTGAAATGTAGTCAGTCCTTAGTCAATTGTGAACTCGTAATAAACTATTAGCTTATTATTCTAATCTTGTGCTGAGCGATTGGCAAATGTGTATGTGTGGTTTACAGTTAACGTTGTGCAAAGTGTGAACTCTGCTTAAGTTGTGAGTTAATGTTAATCCTGTTTTGAGCGACGGAGGCACCGTTTGTTTTGTTTTTGAAATAGAAGGATTTACAAAATGAGACATGAACTCTGTTTAGATTGAGACCGTTATGCTAATGTTGTGCTGAGCAATGTTAAATTTGTTTGACATGCGACCATGCACAGTCCGATATGAACTCCTTTTAGAGCATACGTGAGTTCGTTTGACAATTCAACCATCATTGACTTGAAAACATCTTGTAGGAGAGTGCAACTGGCGGTGACCTGAATACACCTTGTAAAGTGAGACATAAACTATAAAACCGAGATCGTTAGGCTCATTGCGTGCTGAGTAAGGCTAAATTTGTTTGAATTACGAACATACACAAAGTTAAATGTGAACTCCACTTTGATTGCCGGCTTTTTATGTTAATCATGTGTTGAGCTTACGTCAGGTTGTTGGATAGTCCATCTTACTGAGATAAGAATACCCCTTTCAGGATATTCCAACTTATAAACACCTTAATACACTATTCAGGTCAGTCCAGCTTTCAGATACCTGAATGATCGTTCAGAAATGAATGAATGAAACAGGAGTTGACATCACTGCACTCGGAACATTCCTGCACGTGCTCCCTCTCTTTCTTCAGTAACCATCTAAGAGTTAACCTTTTATTGGTAACAGTTGTAACCTGATTAGAAGTCCGTGTCTGTTTCCCCATTGATTTTGAATATCTCCAAAAAGCTCTGCCCACTCC